GAATACCTCCCTCTGCTTCCTTTATAACCTCTCACATAAGCATTCTGTATTCATTTAAAAAACCCAGACAGCAAAAAACCATGCAAAAATACCCCAAACTACCTTAGAAGATTCAGACAAGCATCTGATGAATATCTGGAGGGACTGAGGCTGGTCAGAGTGGGTTATCAGTCCTCTGGGCAATTTATCATGTTTGTCCTCTCTGATAACCATGTGCTAGACACAGTTATCGTGCGAAGGAAGAAGCAAGACCAAACCTGTGAGCTCACAGGGCTGGCACATCCCTCGCTCGGCTGCCAGAGCTGCTTCCCCTGCCCAGCGGGGTCTTTTGGGGAAGATCATTTTATTTCAGCTTTACTGAGCACTTGGAAATATGTTTAGTGAAAAACTGCCCCAAGTCCTTCACTGGGAAGTTTTGAGGGTTTATTGTTTTAACAATTCTCTCTGTGTTTTCCTCCTGGTCTGTATATTTTCCTCCTAGAGCAAAAGGGACCGCATGAAGGCTTGGGTACGGGCACGGCTCCCTGCCTGCTGCAAAGAGAGAGACTCCTGGTCCATCTACATCTTCGCCCCTCAGTCGAGGTAAGGCAGAGTGCTCAGGCAAGGGTAGCATGCCAAGCATGGGTGTCCTTTTTGTGATGGCTCAACTGCTCATCAAGCCCAGATGGGTCTCTATATGTCAGTCCACAAAACTTCTAGCCCCAGCATGACAGCAAACAGCTGCTGGCTGCAGAGAGCCCTGGCACAGGAGTGCCCAGTAGAGACCCACAGCCCAGGGCATGGGTGCAGCTTCATCAGGTTCTGGCAGTGATGCCAGTGCTCTGCAAGTTTTTCACTTGGTGGAGTGTGGGGAATTTGGAGCAAAGGGGAGAAAAATGGATTTGTGCCTGCCGCACACTTACAGCTCAGTAAGAGGCACTCCTTGACCTGCTCAACCCACCTCTTGGCTGGACTTCTATTTCCTCCTGCTTCCCTTTCTCCCTCTCCCAGAGAACACCCTCTCCTTGCCTGCAGGCCCCTGGCTCTGCCCTTCCCAAAGCCTGGCCATGCCAGGGCCATCTGGGCTCCGTGCTCTCCTATGCGTTCCTCTGGACACGCGCAGCAAGGGTTTCCCGTGCTGGAGCCGGAGGGCCCTGGACAGCGTTCAGGTTCATTCATACAAAGATTAGAGAGATTTTCAGAAACAGACTTTGGGAAATGTAATACGGTATTATAAATCCTGGGTCAGTGTACAGCCATCTGTCACAATAAATAGCTTCTGTCCCTTTGTTCCATGTGTGCTCAACTCTTATGGGCTCGCTGGGAGTATTTCTTCCTTTACTTAAACTAAAACTGAGCATTAGGAACCAGGTAGGGGGTTGGATCCAAACCTGGTTGTATGTCCAAGTTGTGGAAGCAGCTGCTTCATTCCAGGCAACACAAACCCCTCTGTGAACATAACCAGGGCTTGAAATTTGTGGCCCAATTCTGTAGCTCAGATTCTTTTCTATTCCTACCCTGATCTGCCCACAGCATGTAGCTCTGCCAGGGAGGGGATTGGGAGATTGGAGCTCATCTGCTTTACAAACGGGGCACTCGGTTCCCCTGCCATGCGTCGAGCTGCTGCGTGTCTCCCCAGCCAGTCGAGCGTTAATAGCTAATCTGTGTCTCCTCTTTTTTTTTTTTTTTCACTTTCTTTGCAGATTCCGTCTGATGTGCAATAGAATCATCACTCACAAGATGTTTGATCATGTTGTCTTGGTGATCATTTTCCTCAACTGTATTACCATTGCCATGGAACGACCCAAAATCGAGCCTAACAGTGCTGTGAGTTTCTGAGGTTAAGGTTTTCCTGTGCTCCTTGTGGAGCAAACACCCTTGGCTTGTACCCCTGTGCACTTGGTCTCACTTTCTTTTGCTTTTTAAAATGGGAAGCTGCCAACACTCCTTGTGTATCCTTTGAATTAGGTACAGCAACTCTCCTGGTCCCTACCCAACCTCTTTTCAAAGCATAAGAGCAGAGCTTGTGGTCTGCAATATATGCAGTATCCCATTTCTGGAAGCACGATCGAGGTTTTAACACATGACATAGCATGACATCTGTCTCAGTTTCCTTCTCTGAGAAACCTTCAAACACTTTGCCTCTCTCAACACAATGTTCGTTTCTTCCATCTGTTCCCCACGGGCACGTATGTGTGGTGTGAAGGGAATGGAGGAAACTGTTCATTTCATACTCTTCTCTCCCCTTTGTGTATCAGCTTTGTTGTGACACTAGAAAAACTGAATTGATACAGGCACTGTAATGCCATTTCCCTGAACTGCTTTGTTTTAATACACTATGTAAGGATTCCTCAAACCAGCCCCTCACAGCACCAACATCTGTCAATCACAGGAGTGGAACCATCTATTGCTTTTTTATTTTAACCTAGATTGGGGCTGAGATGCATTGGGCTCTTTCTGATGTTTTGCACAAGACTGCTCATATTGCAATTGTAAAGAATCCTGGTTTGTTGATGTAGGCGTGTCAGGCTGTTCATTTTTGTGGATTTTCAATGCAAGACCTTAAAACTGGAGTCTTGTCTGCTCTGTGCTTATTTTAAGCATTCCCTAGTAGTCTTTCTTACTGTAGCAGTTTGCCCAGCAGTCCCTCCTCCCTCTCCTAAATCCATTTTTTTCATTTCAGTTGTGGTGTACCAACTCACAGCTGCAAGAAGAGGGCAGGGCTCTCTGCCAGCCAATTTAGCAGGAGGAAATCACCCTGCTGCTCCCCAAATGGGGTGTCCTGAGAATGTCCCTTAAAATCTCAAATGCTTCTTTGAATCCCCTTGCTGTGTCCTCTGAGAGCCACCACCCACCAAGCCTGGCTCTGAAAGGAGCTGCAGTTGGCATGTAGGGAATGGGGTGACATGTGTGAGCCAAGAGGAGACCAAAGCAAAGAGCTGTAGCATGCAAACCTAGTACTTGATGCAGGAGAGGAGGAGAAGATGATGTGGAGTTTGCAGGTGTTAGAAAAGTGCAGAGAGTAAAGGAGATAGGGACTGGTGTGAGGTTCATCACCATCAGGTTATAACCAAGAGGACCAAAACAGGTCATCCAGGGCTGGAGCTGAGCTGGACCATAGTCTGGGAGCCACACAGACTCCACAGGAGAAGGTGGATGCTGAGTGATAGGCAGGGGAGCCAGGAGGAGTGCGTGGGCCCTGCCTGTGCTGAAGGAGCTCTCATCTGGAAACCGAGAGAGTTAGTTTAGGTTGAGTTGTTTAAAATAATTGTTCTTTGCTTCCCTGAGCTGTGGATTTTCTTTTTTTTCCCTGTCCCAGTTTCTGCTGGCTTATCAGAACGGGGGATGCTGTTGCTAGCCAGCATGAGCTCCCCACTGCAGAGTGCACGACATGGGCCGGGGAGATTATCCTTCAAAATAGCCACGCGCTTGCCAGGGAGGAATGCAATATCCTTAGTCTCTCCTCTGTGCTATTGCTGTTTTATCTCCAGCTGAACAAGCAGGTCCCTACCCTCTCCCTCCTGCCCACTGCCTGCCCCTCTACAGCAGTCTTTTGTGTGGCAGTCAGCTGACGGCCGAAGATGTTTCCTATCACAGCTCATGCAATCACAGTGCAGGTCCTAATTAATTATGGACCCAGTATGGAAACAAGCTACTGTGTGGTTCCTGAGTCACTTTCAGTAAATCATGATCTGGCAAGCGAGAGAGTTGCCAAGGTGTTTTGTCTTGTTTAAATTGCATCTCATTTTGAGCGAGATCTGCATCTCTTACAGGACTGCTCAGTAGGGACAGGCAGAAATAAATCCAAAATTGTTATTAGCAGAACTGGGGCTGGTTCAATTGTATGCACACATGCATACATGCACATGCATCATCTTTCCTCCAGCCTCCACCTTCTGCTGTCCATTTCTCAGTACAGGCAATCAGAGATTGTTCAGGGATTAGGGAAAAGTGTAATTTATTTAATGATCATCATTAAAAAGAAAGGTTTCTGCTAACTGCAGATAGGGAACCAGTCCATGGTCTCATCTGTAATCACTAGCTGCTATTGCAGAGTGGTGGCAGTGAGGATGGCATGGTCTGGTGGATAACACAAGGGACTGGGAGATGAGGCTGTTGGGCTGCACGCCAGGTCTAGCCTGTGGCTTTGGGCGAGTGAATCAACCTTTTGGGGGCAGGTCTCAGCTGGCATAAAGCCCCAGAGCGTTGCTGGCTTCACTGGAGCTGTGACAACTCATGCCAGCTGTGCTTCAGCATCCCATGGGTCCTGCTGCCTCACAGCTCAGCCAGTCTAATATTGACTTAATTTCTAGGAGAATTGGGAGCTCAGTGATATTTGCACTGTGCGGTGACGTCTGCAGGTGAGGGGCAGGTAGAGGTTTGCCAAGCGTGCTTCAGGGGGGGTCACAGCTCCCTGTTTCTGCTGGAGAGGGGGAATCTGCAGGGAGACAGAGAGGATTTGGGGGCAAATAGGGAGATTTTGGGGGCAGGTGCCAGCAGCTGCCCCTGTCCATGGTGCTGACACAGAGCTGGGTACTGGCAGGGCCTGAACCATGCACAGTGTTATTGGCCAAATATTTGGATTTTCTCCTCTTGGCGAGCAAACGGTGCAAGGCTTGTTTCAGCACAGAAGCTGGAGAACAGTTATCAACCACCCAAATAGGCATGGGGAGATGTACAGCTGCAGAGAGCAGGGTATAAAACATTGTCTCTCTCTCTTATCTTTTTCATAGGAACGGATTTTCCTAACGCTCTCCAACTACATCTTTACAGTTATCTTCCTGACCGAGATGACAGTTAAGGTAAATGAAGCTGGAGGATAAGTGTGCCTCTGTCACATTAGTGATTTTTTTTTTATTATGGTGGACTCAAAAATCCCCTAGATCTACCAGCTGCGAGTGAGGTGTATATTTTTCTCTCCTGAATCATATTCAAATACCTACCACATGCCTTATTCTGAGCACGTTTTACATCAGAGCAATTTCACTGAAGTTGGTCTTGATTTACACCATTATATGAGCAATGGGATCCTTCAATTCAGCAATCCTTCCCTATTCAGCAAAGCTCTCGAGCACACGCTTAACTTCAACCATGCATGTAAGTCTCATTGTCTTCAACAACCAGTTGTCCTCAACAACCTAAGCTGCTGTGTGCTTTCCTGAAGAGGGAGAGATTTAAGCACGTTGAAACACTTTTGCTGGATTTGAGGCAGAAGGCTCAGAAACTCATTGCTGTAAATCTCTCTTGTGTAATTCATAATCATCTCGCTGAACAATTGCTCTTTCTCTGGAAAGTTTCTCTAGTTTCTTTATTTGCAAAGCCTGTACATGATTGCTTTGGGTCAGCCACTCTGAACCTTCTCCCCTGCAGTCTGCAGGAATAAAATGTGATCACATTTTTTTTTCATGCCAGAGCTAAACGTGTTAGGAACACTTTTATGCAGGTAGGTTTATCTGCATTAAAAGTACATCAGCTCTAAGAGACAACTTGGGAAGATTCTGCAGAGGTATTTTTATTATTCTTTCAATAGAACATTTTGCTGGTTTGTCTAATTAGGCTTCAGTACTGGGAAGCAAATGGACTCACAGACTTGTATCTGTAAATAACACATTCCCAGCAGGTTGCTAACTGGAACAAACATATTGGATGTTCTAGTCATAATTTGTTGCAACTTGGTGTCCGGGCAGGTGGTGGCACTAGGCTTGTGTTTTGGAGAGAAAGCCTACTTGAAGAGCAGCTGGAACGTGCTGGATGGGGTGCTGGTTCTCATCTCCGTCATCGATATCCTGGTCTCGATGGTGTCAGACAGCGGCACGAAAATCCTGGGAATGCTGCGGGTTCTGAGGCTGCTGAGGACGCTGCGGCCCTTAAGGTAGGCTGAGGAAGACCTAAGGGAGCATAGGATGTGTGTGCCAAAGTGGGGGATGAGCATTTGTGCAAGGGAAGGGGCAGACAAGACAAGGGCACAGTGTCTGTCCCCAGCGTTGTCCCAACCTCCTGCGGCTCCGCAGACAATGAGTGTCTGCAGGTCCTGCTGAGCCACAAGGAGCTCTGGGCACTCGCTGTGTTTTGGGACCAGCCCCAAGTGCAATAGTAAACTGATCAATGCCTCTTTTGCTCATTAAAACACACATCCCCTGCTATTTGTGTTCTCATTTGCTCTGTGTAAAGTGTAGCTTAACAGCTTCTTTTCTCCCTTTCCTTCAGGCAGTCAATGGCTTTCGTAACAAAGAAGGAAATTAGTAGCAGGTGGTAGATAATTTTTAAAGAAGCACAGACTCAACTGTTGCTTAACCTAGAATGCAAAGAAACTTTTTTTTCTCCATCTCCCCATTAATTTTACAGAGACATTTATTTTGAAAATGGCCCAGACAAGATGAAAGCAATTGTCCAGCTAAGTTGATTCCCCATCTCTGCCAGCAGGCAGTATCCCATGCTCCAGGGGCAGGCTCCCCTCTGATGAGAACCTGCCCAAGGACCAACCTCTTCCAAACAGGCATCTGTTTGTGACCTGTACCCCAAGGCATGAAGGTTTCTCTCCATGCTAAATGCAGTCCCTCTTCAATGCCATTGTTGCTGCTCTTGTTATGCAGCAGCTAATAAACCTTCCTGCTCAAAGCATCTTTGTGTGCCTGTCATATCTTACTGCTGCTTCCTTCATAAAAGGTTCGCTTTGAGTCAGAATTTTCTCTTTCAAGACAGAAAAAATAGGACCCTGCTTCTGATAGAAGATGTTGGTTTACTGCCCCTGTGTGAATAATAAGTCTAAATAACAATGGCCATGCCTATATGTATATCTTTCGAATATTCTCAACAGCTATAAAAGATATTCTGTTCAATCAGGCTCTGTGTGTGTGTTGTACCTGGTGAGTTTTAGGACATGTGCTGCTTTTCATCATTTTTATCTGGACAGCTAGCACCACTGGGGTGGTTCAGCTCTCTCATCATGTGAGTAGACTGTCTTCCTATGTGACTCCAATTCAGACTTTTCCTTCTTCATGTGTCCCCTGGCATCTCATGTCAGCTGCAGTTTCTGGGGCGGTTTCTGTGCAATTGCTGGTTGGGGAGATCTGCTCCTCTCTGCGTTTCTGTTTTGCCTGATTTTTGACCTGTGTTAAGAAAACCTATAAAATAATCTGGATAGCTCTGTGTAAAAGAAGGATTGATTTCTCATCTCTGAACTGTGGAATGCAAGTTTCTCTTTTGATGTTCTGTGCTTAAAGAGGATCTAGAGGAAGACATTTGGGTTATGTTGAGCCCTGCTAGTCTCACCTCTCTGACCTGGTAAAAGCACTGTATGCTTCTTTGTAGATTATTGGTCTGCCTGGCCAGGACTTGGGTCTTTTTGAACTCCAGCCTTTCTCTGTAGTCACCTATGTGAATGAGTAGTCTGCAGTTCTGGGGAATAATCCACTGAGTAACTACAGGATGGAGGAACACCTGCCATCTGGAGCATGTGCAGGATTAGGCTCTTCCATTGCTGTTCCATTCCTGTTGGCATTTGATATGTTTTCTCAAGAGAGCATGTGAATGTTTTGAGCCAACAGGCTGCTTTCTACTACAAAGGAAGCATAAAAAGACAGCAACAAGCCCATTCCCTAAATATGTTCAGAATCAGTTCTGTTTCCCTGTAATTAGATTTGTAGGAAATGAAAAAGCAGCCATCAAACTAGGGGCTTTTCAGTAAGTCATAAATCTCTGCATGTGGAAACCCATCTGCCTCTGCACTGCACATCTGGGCTGCCCTGGTCATGCCTCTGCCCACAGCTGCCCATGTTGCCTTTGCCGCAGGCTGCAGCCTGTGGCTCAGGGATCACATCCTCCCTGCCTGGGATGTTCAGCTGGAGCAACAGGAGACGACAGCTGGGACAGGTGACCTGAGGTCTTTGCACACCATGGCTCCAGTCTCTGTGTCTGGGTGAAGTCTCCTGTGGAGGCTGAGCCAACGTTTTTTCTTTTCTGGGAAGGCATAGGGCAGAGTCCAAAGCAAATGCTCCACCCCCACCACAGAGGAGCAAACCCAGCTCCTTCTGGCCTCCCTTTCTGTGGACACTCAGGGACAGGGCTGCGGGGGAGGACACTCTCAGTGGGAAGCCAAGCCACAGCTGTGCGTGTCACACTCAGCTCAAGAGCAGGGACAGCTCTCATCCTCTCTGTGTTGGCTTTCCCCATCGATGGTCTGGAAGGGGATTCTTGCAAAAGACCTCCCTCATTCTGTCTCTGATTTTCTCCTGTGGAAACAACCCTGTTGCTTTTCGCAGTACACAAAACCACACAAGCTTCTGCCTTTTGCCCAAGCATAAAAAAAAAAACAAACCAACTGGCCTGGTGTGCCAATCACGGGGTTTTGATTGCATGATTGATTATCAGCCTCCAAATTGAATCCATGAGGATAGGAGCCCAGCTTTGTGACCAGAATTCCAAAAATAAATTCACAAAGGAGTGACATTTAAAGATGTTTCCATGATCCTCTGATGTTTCAGCCAGTAAAGGGATTGCTTATACAATAACATTCCTTTCTAATGCGTTCAACCTGCTGTTGTTGGGATCAAGTGTTGTAGCTTAAGATACAAGAGAAATCAAAATTGAGAATGTATTCAGATTTAATGTGGGTGGACTTCAGCACTGTTTTACTCTCTACAGAGCCTAGGCTTTGACTTCGGAGGTAGATAGATAAATCATTCACTTTTCATACCATCACGGTATGAAATAGCAATTTCATCGACTCTCTTCTATCATATTATCACCTTTGCTGATTTTTTTTTAATCTGTGGAGGAAGATCTTCATTAACATTGATCTGTTACTTCATCTAAGTGCTACTTCTGGGAGCTCTGATCAGGCTTAATGTTGGTAATGGATCCAGCTGGGATGAGGCTGGCAGTGGGTTTGGAGTGTCTCACACCAGGGATTTTAACAGCATTGGGAATGCTGAGACCAGCAGAACCAGGGGGAACTTGAGGGATTAACATTTCTTTACATTGAAAAAGAAAAAAGAAGGTCTTATTTCAATTTCTCCATTTTTCATATACCTGATGCAGACTGGAATTGTGCTGAATGGAACCTCAGCAGGTCTATGGCTCTGGCACAACCAGAGAGCTCCAAATCAGCCACATCCTTCAGCAATAAATTGCAGGAGTGTGGGTCAGATAGTATGAGTTCATAAGCCTGATATCAGTAGGACCTTGGGCAGTATTGGTGAGGTGCTGTATGCTGACATATTGGAGGTGATACTACAAATCTGGAAAAGCTGAGAATTTCATTGACACCTCTAAGAGAGTTATCAGACTCTCAGGATTGCTGCAGGAGTCTTTGCACAGACTTGCCTCAGCACTGGATCAGGTCCTTAGTCTGAGGCAGTGCCAAGGTCTGGAGGTTTTCATTAGTAAGAACTATTATTTTCAAAATCTTTTCAAAGCCTTTTCTCCCTGTAGGGCTGAAAACAGCACTGGCATGGAGCTAAACTGGTGGCAGCTTTTACCCTAATGCATTCTTAGTTGAGGAATTCCCTGGTTGATCAAAACACTGAAAGCAGCCAAACACTGCAGTTTTTCAGCCTTTTTTTTTCCACAACACACACATGACTTTGCAAAGTCAGACAAGTAACCTCCTATTTTCTATCTCAGCTGGATACCAAATAGTATCTCACAAGGGAAATCACTTTATTATTTCTAGAGCAGCACTTCTTAATAAGTGCTGGAGAAAATTATCAACTTTAAACTCTGGAGACTGAATTTCTTCCTTGTTGCCCAAAATTTAAGGATGCCCAAGTAGTTTAGACCATAGAACTTCAGTTTAGAAGTCTCAAGTTGTGTTCTGTGTGACAGTGAACAGAATGCATAAGTTAGGATCCCTAAGGGCACCAATGTACATGATTTCCATTTAAATAATTGAAAATTAGTTGCCTGTGTACTTCTGACAACACATCCTGAGGTCCTCCCATGGCTCAGTTTCCCATTTGTAGTTTGGCAGGTGTGGCATTTCACCCAGGACTGTGTGAGGGCAATATGTAAGGGGTGGTGAGGTTTTTAGACCATCTGAGGAGCCAGAGGAGAGGTTCAGCCTCAGACTGTCCAGCCCAAGTCTTGCTTTGTGCACTCAGCCACAGCCTGTTAGGCTGCATTAACTGGCTCATTGAGCCAGGTACACTGACCTGCTCTCCTCTCTAGCTGCCCTGGGCTCAGTTCCCAGCCCTGGTGCAGGTACAATGTGGCAGCAACAGCCAGGACCTCAACTTGGGCTAATTCCCATGAGCAGCTTTGACAGCTCACACTGACCAGTCTCCACGCTGCTCATGGGGGTCACACTCTTCCCAGGGGCATTCCCTTCTGGTCCTTCAGCCTTCTCCCCATCTAGTTCATTCCCTAAAACCCCCAGATCTGAGCATCAGGAAAGCTGAGGATGTCTGAATTAGAGACCCACAGCACCTACCTGGCAGAGATGCCCAGTGTGAGGAATAGCAGCATCTGATTTTTGTGTGAGAGAGTGGATAAAAATACCACCATCTGTTTCTGTCTTAAATGATAGCTGATGAGTTGCCCTTGACATTTTAAGTAAATATTTAACCAGAGAAAAAGGAAATAAGCTTTAGCTTTTCAGGATACTGTTTAAAGCCAACAGTTTTGGTAAGAGCTGGTGCCTGTGCACTGAGCACTGCAGTTTGCTCAACCTGCATGTTCTGGGGCAGGAGAGAGCTGGTGCAGGTTGGCTGTGGTCCCAGCTGAGGCCACGTGTGGATGTGTCCATGGGGACCTCTGCTGGGAGCACCATGCCCAGGAAAGAGAGGGCAAGAGGAAGAGAATTAGGATCCTCTCCAGGCAACAAAACTCCAATTGTGCTTCAGGTGGTAGAGCCAGACTAGGGGTGAAACGGGAAAAGCAGTGAGAGGAGTCCCATGGCAAAAGAGAGACCCAGGCAGAAATAAGAAGTTGGGGAAGTTTGTGGCACATTTGAGTGCCAAGTGTTCAAAAGAATCACCAGCCAGCACCCAGAAGCACACAGGCACTTCCCTTCCCTGACCTCCACAGCAGACAGCCACTTCTGCCTTGGGAAAGCAGTTTCTATGGCATCACTACAAATTGATTTACAGCACTAGTGAAATGCTTAATTCCAGTTGGCATCAAGAGGAGGGAGGCATGTAACCTCTTCAGATGCCTTTCTTGGTCCCCACCTTCAGGTCGGTGTGCCTGAATACCTCGTTCATCTTTCCCAGCATGGTGAGATAGCTTCTTTAAATCACACAAACCTTGTCCTTTCATTGCAACATTGTCCTTGAAAGTATAGTACAGTTTCTACTTTTCCTACCTGCTTCAGTCATGATGTCCACATTATTCTTCCCCAACTTTCTGATGTGATTTAATCCTCCGTTATGAAATTTTGTATGATACCAGACAGAGAGGAGCTACAGAAATTAGGTTAGATACTTATGGTCCTGCCAGTGAAGTTTCACCTGGAAGACAGTTCATAGTTGAGGCTGTACAGTGTGTGTAAAGCAGAGACTGTGATGGTCTGAGGGGGTAGCTCAGGTCTCTGCATACAGCAGCACTATAAGGACATGTACAGATTATTTTTTTATAAGACAAGAGTGGTGAAACACTGGTTCAGGTTGCCCAGAGAGGTGGTAGATGCCCCATCCCTGGAAATATTCAAGGTCTGGCTGGACAGGGCTCTGAGCAGCTTGATCTAATGGAAGGTGTCCTTGCTCATTGCAGGGGATTGGATTAGATGACCTTTAAAGGTCCCTTCCAACCTGAGCCATTCTATGATTCTGTAATGACTGCAGATGTACAGGTAGCTGTGTAAGAGTGGCTGCACCATTTCACAGGCTGAGACAGGGAAATGAAGAGCCTTGCCTAAATCTATGCAGGAAGGGGCACTGAGAGGCTCTGTCTTTGCAGTCCTGGACAGGCAACAGGCATAAAAGTCTATATTTGCACAGATGGCCCAAACAAAGTGGCTGAATTTTCTGGCCTGGTTCCTCATGCTTGTTCTCCTTCTATTCATTTATGCAAAGCTGTATGTGTAGGCAGACACTTTCACTCCAACACCTCCGTAATCTCACAGGTCAATCTTCCAGAACTGCTTTTTCCATCATGATTTTTGAGTTATTTGTCATTCTAAAAATTTTCCTAATGCAGTGTTCTCCCTATCTTCTATCTTGGTAGGAGACAGAACTGGGCAGGAGGAGGACTAACAGCTCTTGTCCTTACTTACCCCTGCAGAGTCATTAGTCGAGCCCAAGGACTGAAGCTGGTGGTGGAGACTCTTATGTCATCTCTGAAGCCCATTGGGAACATTGTGGTTATCTGCTGTGCCTTTTTCATAATCTTTGGGATCCTGGGAGTTCAGGTGAGTCCCCTGTAAGCCTCAGCACCTAACCTAAAAGCATAACAAGCCCCAGATAGCCCCACATCTGGGTATCTGTATCAGTGGGCATGTTATGAGCCATTCTGAACTGTGACTGAGGTTAGGTTGGACAGGTGTCCCTGCTTTTTGCAGGGAGTTGGACTAGATGACCTAAAAACATCCCTTCCAACCCAAACCATGCAATGATTTTATGATCTCCCCTTCACCTTTCTTCTAGTTATAAACCGATAGGGAAATAGAAACTCAGAGCTGAAATTGTTGATTTGTAAACTCCAGAGAGCCCTTGACTTGGAGCTTCATTCAGATTCTGACAGTTTGTGTAACAGAAAGCTTGTAGAAATAGAGATTTCTGAGTCTGTTTCCTGCCAGCTCTGCTGGCAATAACCTCAGTCCCAGGAGTGCAAGAACCCGGGGGAAAAGTAGCAGAGTTTCCAATGCAATTGGTTTCTCATTACCTGGGAAGAAGAGATTGCTTCATATAAATATTCTGACATAACACTTATTTCTTTCTGAAGTTTATCTGATCTGTCAGAGCCAGCCTTGGAAAGCAGCTCCGTTTGGCTTTGTTTTGGAAAGGTGTCTTATATAATATTTTACACTAATATACTGTTTAAATAATAAATACAGCATTGCAAATAAACAGAGAAGAAAATCATGCCATCCATAACCACCTCAGCTCCTAGATTGGCTTAGCATTAGAGTATAACAGCATCCATCCATTATACTAAACAGATTCATAAAACTAAGCATATTCTGTAAAACAATATAAGGCTCAGACATGGGAAAATTTATGCCAAACTCTGAAACTTGCAGTATGCTCTTTGAATTTCCTCCCTGATAATTGCAATGCTTTCCCTGGTGACTTGCAGTCTTACGTTAAATTGTCATGACTATTGATGTGCTTCGGTGGTAGATACAAGCAAGACTGATCCTGTATTCAGGATGCAAAATTCTCAGTTAATATTTATGTCTAATTAGGTGTAAGATGAGGCCGTAGCTATTTTCTATAAAAAGATGATCTCTCAAAGTTGCAGTTAGTTTTTCCATTTAAATAGAAGCTGGGGATCAAGCTAGAGGGGTTTAATGCTATTAAAATCCAGACGTCAAAGTTTCTAATTGTGTGTCCTGTGTTGGTTGTAGAGCTGCCCACAGGTGAAGAGTCATTAATAAGACACAAGAAATAAATGGATAAAACAAGTGCAATAGGAAACACTGGGTCCTTTTCCTTTCGGAAGTGTTGTAGTGTTAAAGTGTGAAGCCCTAACAGGGATCAGCATCTTTGCAAATTGGGCTTTGTATTTCCAAACACTGTTAGTGCTCCCATCTGAGTAGCATTACAGACCAGCTCCTGGAGAAGTTATATTTACAGACAATATATTAAAACCAGTTGTTTACCTTCCTGCTTAATTAAAACTTTTCTCTGTGAAGACTATATCTCCCCAGTCTGCCTTACCATGGTTAGTGTTTCTCAAAGGAAAGATCAGGGAATACTTCTCTTCTTGCATCCAGAAGTTTTGTGATTGCGTTGAGCAGTGATTAATTTTGCATGCCTAGAGACCATCCTTCTGCTGTTGATTTCTGAAGGAAACCCATGGAGTAACGTGTGGGTTTATCTTGTTCACTATTATTTCTACAGATATTTGTCTAGAACAACAGCTCAAACCCCATCAGCATCTCTTCTCTGTATGCCCAGGTGGTGTTTTAAGGAGCCTGGAGAGGAGGCTGCCATTTCCCCACCAACAGTAATGTCAATAGCTTCAGTCAGCAAATAAAAGCAGATTTGTTGGCTGTCTCCTGGGCTTTGATACCATCCATCCTGCTAGCATCAATCACCCTGTCTGAAGCAGTAATCATCCCTGCCACTGTTCTGTGCACAGAAAGCACCAGGTCTAGAATTAAGCAAGGGCTCCTGTCCCTTGTACAGGTATAAATCAGGAGGTGACTCCCCAGGAGTTGCATCTCTCCTGGCTTACACTAAAGGAAATAAGCTCAGGATCAGGTACCAAGCACTGATTGGGCTGCTTTAGCTCTGCAGAAGGAATATTTTCAGTGACCCCTGCACAGTCTGCAGAGCCTTATGACAGCTGGAGCACAGCATCCAGGATCAGACAGCAGAGCAGGACTGACAGCAGTCTTGATTCAACAAGAGCCCAACGTCACCCTCAGGGGCTTGTCTCCTCTCTGAAGTGTCCCCTTATGCCCTCTACGAGCAGAGCTTAGTTCATCACTGAGCCTCTTTGGTGCCACCTTTGCCCTGCTGACAGAGGGCTCCCGTGGCACTTCATTTGTCATCAGGTGGGCTGAGAGTCACTGGACTTGTGCCATGTGTGGTAAGAAGCCAATAGCTGCTCTGGGCTATTAGTTGGGGCTACACTTGAGCTGGCGACCCAGAAGCAAAGGCCTTTAGGCAAGTCTCGGATCACTGAACCAGACAACCTAATGCATGAGGTGGGTGTCCTAAATGATGTCAAATCATGCATTCGCTCATTAGCTGCATATTATACAGGCTGCTCACTCTTAATAACCTGCATGAATGAGGCCAGTTCCCTTAACAGCTCCGGTCAGCGTGGGCTGTGTGCAGAACCCCGGAGAAACGCTCATCATCTGCAGAGAAATCCTGTGGATTGAACCCTGACAGTTCCTCTCTCGTTTGCATGTTTTTTTGCAGCTTTTCAAAGGCAAGTTTTTTGTCTGCCAGGGGGAGGACACCCGAAACATCACAAATAAATCGGATTGCACAGAAGCAAGCTACAAATGGGTCCGGCACAAGTATAATTTTGATAATCTCGGCCAGGTATTAATAGAACGGTAATCTGCTTCTTTGCTCCTTTGCCTCCTTGACTTAAAACCTGTGCATTATTATCCCATGGGATTTTCTTACAGGGTACTGCCAGGCACAGTAAATATTCAGTTCACATACACAGCATTCTGTCTCTGTAAATCCCAAAGGCAGTGTTTCCAAGCAGGCATACACTTCTTTTCGGAACTGAACAAGCACATGTGGCTTCGTGGAGTACTTAATTGCTTCACTGCTACATAACAAACCAAATATATCTTGCAGAAAGGCTTGTCTAATAGAGCTGGACATTTTCAACCATCTCTGCAACGCAGCCTTATTTTAGCAGTATGGTAAGGACTAATTAGTCAGGAGCAGTAGGGACCTGGAGGGTGGAAATGAAGCTGCTTTTGTCTTCAGCACTGTGGTTTCCGAATTACCACTCATTGCTGGCATTGATAGGTTTTTGCTGCCAGGAGAAATCTTGGTCATCAAAGTGTCCCATTATTAGACAGGTAATGACAATCCTCAGGCAGGAAAGGGCAAAGAAGAGTAAGATGTTACAAGTAAAAGTGCTTTAGTGCAACTGTGCCTAACTTTTTTCCATGTGTTTCTAGGCCCTGATGTCTCTCTTTGTTCTGGCCTCCAAGGATGGGTGGGTGGATATCATGTACGATGGCTTGGATGCTGTAGGAGTGGACCAGCAGGTAAGGGCTTCAGCAGAGCTGTAAGAAATGAGTTGTCAAAGGTCACACTTTTTAGCTCTTATTTTGTGAAGTACTGTTGGCTTCCACAGTCAAATGGGGTTATGGGGTTAGGATCAAGGGAGGCATTTAATCCAAGCCCTAGGACGTGACATGGAGTCCTGTGAAAAGT